TTTCAGTGCTGCTAGCTCCTCTTGTGAGTTGTGAGAGACCTATTGGGCATGCTATATATGATGGAGTTTGGATCTTCTAAGTTCTGACCACAAAATGCATGCTATATATGTTAGCCACATACTGCTGTGCACAAAATTGCGAAGTCCCACCAATGACAAGATGAAATACAAGAGATGCTTCCATTGTGCAGCCATAGCGCCTTGTGGTCAGCAGATCCAAACTCCGAAGAGCCTACATTTAGTTCTACAAGGTTGATGTAGCTAATGTCTCTCCGGTTTGGTTTGGGATTGATGCTAACTGTCAAATCAAATACTGGGTCATCCTGATCAGGTTTGGAATTTTTGTTTCTCCTTGCATGCATTTATCCGGGCTAATGGTGTCAGTAGCACTTGTTCCATCACTGGTGTGTAAAACCTGAATCCGATATGAATATGAATGAGTGTTTTCTCATAGAAGATAGAATCCTTCAATTCACAAGTGGACAAGTAGTAACTAGTAAATATCCCTCCCCCATTTTCTAACTATGGTTTTAGTCATCTTTGCACTGTTAGTTGGCTTCCACATGGCATGGCAGTGCATGCAGGATAGAAAAATATTTATTGGATATTTATTAGTTCCTTATGCTGCCAGTGCCAGAGAGAGAGAGAGAGAAATGTGCAAGAAAATTCTGAATTCTCTTGAATTTTAAGAAAAGAGGAATCTTGCTTCGTTGTACCACTAATAATATTGCATGTCCTCTATCTGTATCGTTATTAACTAATACCATTTGCTTTATTTTTGTTGATCAATTTATTAATAAAGCACATTGACTTATTAAAAGGCTAATAAGTATCAATTTTGATGATATGACAAGCTGTAAAGAAAAAATTATTTGAAAAAAGGGAAGGAGGGAAAACTCATGCGTCCTCAAAACCCAGGGGTGCAATTTAGGTGGACTTGCCAATCTGATCCCGGACTGACTTGGTCCACAAGTTTGGGCTCAGGCCAGGCTTGACCACAACATTTGGATTCCAGACCTAACATTTTTTAGCCTAAGTCTAGTCATTAGGTAGTACAAGTTTAGTCCCGACTGTTTCCTATGCTCCCTCTTCCTTTCAGGTCCTCTCTCTCTCTCCTTTAATTGAAACTGACTTAGTTGTTTATGTTTTCTTTCAACAAGCAGAGAGACATTGGATGCTTACTCTATGGAGATAAATAAGCTCGCTATGAGTATGTTAATGCAGATGGCAAAAGCTCTAAAAATGAAGGACGAGGAGATGGCCGAGTTCTTTGAAGATGGGATGCAAGGAATGGGGATGAATTACTATCCACCATGTCCTCAACCAGATCTAGTAATTGGTGTTACACCCCACTCAGATGCTGGGGGTCTGACCATTCTCCTTCAAGTAAATGAAACGGAAGGCCTCCAGATCAAGAAACAAAGGACATGGATTCCAGTGAAACCTCTTCCAAACGCTTTCATAATCAACATTGGGGACTGTTTGGAGGTAACAACTTGGAACAAGCTATGCATCCTTCTCGCACTGAAAACCAACGCCATTTAGATGACCATAATCATCTAATCAAATTCATTCCTTTATGGGAACAGTGGAACACTTATGTTCATTTCAAGGTATATGTTGAAACCTTCAAATATGTTGATGAAACCTTTAAATATATATATATATATATATATATATATATATATTTGATGCATTTTTTTAGTTCAAAATATATGAAAGAAGCACTTCAATAATTATCTGCCAAATAAATAAAAAGTAAACATGAAAAACCAATTAAGGAAATCAAGTTCTATTAGTTTCTCTTGGTCTTTTGGAGAGTTCAATGCAAAATGTGTCAATCAAGTTCTTAGTTTCTCTTGGATATATTAAGTGACTTTTCTTATTATTCTAATTCTAACATCCTAGTTTTATTATTTTTTTTTCATTTCTTTTCCTAATGGATTTATTTGCTATTTATTGATTTTTTTTGCATAGACCACCATAAATCTTAAATCCAATTATATGGATGATTCTTCCTATATTTCCTTTCTTCTAAGTTGGTCATTTGAATTATTTGAGAACTTTACATTTTTAAACATGAAATGTAAAATGTTTATAATTGTTAGCTGATTTGTTATTATTTTATTTAATGCTTAACCATTGAAAGTTATTGCCTATAAACTTTTATTTTATAAACATTTATACCTTCTTCTATCATTCTAACTTAGTATATTATATGGTATTTTTATCAATTTATAAACTTTGAGGCTTAAGCCTAGCAACCCCTTGAGATTTATACTTCACCATTTTGGGCCATTACCCTCAACTACACCTTTAGCCTTTTAAAACTTTGCTAAAGTGAATTTCAATCAAACCAAATCTAACCAATCTTTTTTTTGGGTTGGGTTTGGGCGGCCCAAGTAACACCCCTAATTGTGGGCACTGGTCATTGTCTTCTAGTTTGAGTGTATACTTTAACCAATTCTAGTTGCACTAATCTTCTTATTTGATTGGTTGGTTATGATAGATTGTAACAAATGGAGCATACCGCAGCATTGAGCATCGAGTAACAGTGAACTCAGAGAAAGAAAGGATCTCAATCGCCGCATTTCATAGGCCAAAACTTGAAGGAGAAATAGGCCCTGCACCAAGCCTGGTCAATCCACATGCACCAGCATTGTTCAGTAGAATTGGGGTCAAGGAATACTTCAAACAGTTCTTTTCTCGGGAACTCCATGGAAAAACAAACTTTGATCTCATGAGAGTTCAAAATGACCAAGGCAACTATATTTGAGTTCTGATCTGTCATATGTGAAGATCTAGCTAAACCAAAAGAAATAATGATTTGAACAAAAACCTATGCCACTGTTGTTGTTTTAATTTCCATGTGAAGTCTCAGAGAGTGCTGCTAGGGCACAATTGATGGTGTTCTGAAATCTGCAACAGCTCATCCATCTGTATGCATGGTTTAAGCTTATACTGTAATGGTAGCATAGTACATAGAGGTGTTCTTCAATGTGCTTTCCATATCCAAATTTGAAACGAAAATTAATGATCTCCATGAATTTCTGGCTTTAAGGAACATGTTTGTTGTGGAAGAATGAATTGAAAAATTAGGGATGGCAACTTTTCCCTTGAAGCCGGGGCCAGTCTCACCCCACCCCGAATTGGGTGGGCTTTCCCTGATCTTAAATGGGGACAGGGCAGGGTTAGGAAAAATATGTTTTCCCCAAACTAAGGATGGAGTGGGAACGGGGTTTGCATATAATTCCTCAAACCTAGTGATAAGTTACTAAAATATGCCTAGGTTTTATATTAATTTCTAAAATATCCTTAAATTTTTTTCAAATTCCTAAAACCTTTAGGATACCATAATCCAATGTTTAAAATACTCCTAAATTTCCATAATCCAATTTCTAAAATACTATGATGTATTTTTAGGTGATTGACTTGGGGCGGAAATTTTTCAGGGATTCCCATTCCTCACAGGGAGGAGGTGCCCCGCTCCAAACCCATCCCACCACTGAGGACGGGGTATGGAATTTTGGCTACAAACCGGGGACGGAGAGGGGGTGTCCCGCCCTATTGTCAATCCTAAGTAGGGGTGGATTCGATCTGAGCCGAGCTTAATAGTACCAGGCTCAAGCTCGGCTTGAGGCTATTCTACAAGGCTCGAGCTCAGGCTCGGTTCGAGTCAAGAGTTCATAAGTTCGAGCTCGACTCGGCTCAGCTCGTTTTATATTTTATAAAAATATTTAGAAAAAATATTTTATAAAAATAAAAATTATATATAATTTTTTTATTTTATATTTAAAAAATTAAGAACTATAATAATTAATCATTATAATATTTTTATTATATATATTATATATCAAATATATATATTCGAGTCGGCTCGCGAGCCGAGCTCTAGTAGGCTTGAGTTCGATTCGTTTAATAATCGAGCCATTTAATTGGGCTCGAGATCGAGCTCGAACTCGATCGAAACCGAGCCGAGCCGAGCTTTTCACAAGCCGAACTCGAGCAGCTCATGAAAAATTCGGTTCGTTGCCACCCCTAATCCTAAGGAAAATGAAGACCCTTGGCTTCTTATGATTTGTGTTATTAGCCTTTCTTTTGGACTGGAGACAGTTTTTTGTAGCATTATTTGTAGATGTTCTATGCGAGACGTAAGATTCTTCAATTTTCTTATGATTTGTGTTAAAAATATAATGAAAAATAAGTCAATATTAATAAATTTGGTAAGTTGAGGCAAATTATATGGTTAATTGACCCAATGATTTTTCATTTAGGCCTGGTTTGTTTCAACACAATTTCGTTTAAAAGGGTACAAAAGTATGGGACTGTAAATGATTTTTAAGTGTAATATTTTATTTATTTATTTTTAATTTTTACCTTATTTTGTTGGCCGTGCAAATGAATGAAATAAAACCTGGAGCAAAGTAAAAGCAGGAGCAAAAGTGGAGCAGAATTTGCATTCTTCACATTTACACTCTGACACATGTGTTCTAATGCAAAGGAAATTGCATTGCAAAGTGTAAACAAAGCCGATAATTTGGTGCAACAATGGGAGAAATTAGGCGGGGGAGGAAATAGAGTGGATCCCCTATTCCCCTTTAATTTTTTTGTGCTGCAGCCTGCAGATGAAATAAAACCTGAAGCAAAATTGAATCAGAATTTGCACTTCCCGTCTACACTCCCATGCATTTGTATTAGCGCAAAAAGAAATTGCGTTACAAAGTACAAACTATGGAGCCTGGAGAACTTCGGAGTTTGGATTGACATCTCAATTTGTGCCTAGCCAAATGGATTAAATCTTCGCCTAAATCAACCAAACTGGAGCTTGTTGGGCTTGTTGGTTCTTGGACAAATGGATCGTCCCATCTTTTCTTTCGAGTTTTTAACATGGGTCAGCCTGGACCCTCTTTGGTAGTTGACCCATGGGCCCAGCCCATGTCGAACACTCCAGCGCTTTTAAGTTTTTACTTGTTATTCTCTACTTTTCTTCGACTCTTTCGTTTATCTAGGCTTGGGAAAACTGGGAACGAGATAAAAAATTAGTGAACACTGAGAACAGAGTAGTTAAGAATGCTACAGTCATTGACTATTTCTGGCGATCTCGGACTCGAATTGCAGAATTAGTTGGTTCGATCACCTGCAACTGGTTTTAACTTTTAAGGTATGGGATTTTTATCTGATTCCTTTTTTATATGATGCTATTTCTGGTTGAACTCGCTTTTAATGTTTGTTGCTCAACACTCTGGTTTTGATTGGTTCTATCGTCTTCCATTCATCTATTCGGTGAAAGCTAAAGCCCCAGTTATAGTGATTTAGTATATGTTTGATCCCTTTTTTCCCTGTTATTTCAGAGTTCTTGGTGGTTTTGTTACATTTCTTTGTGGAATTGATGTTTCAGACCTGAGATTTGTCTGTTTTTGATGTTTATCTTAAAGCCACAATTATCTGCTCCATCGTGTGAAAACAACAGTAATATATACTTTTTTCATGTACTCTTTCCTCTCACTGCTCTTTAATTTTCTTCTCTTTTTTTTACTTCTGAGGGTGGAGAGAACAATTGATACAGTACCGGGTGTCTGAGGTCTAACCCTTAGCAGTTAATAGGGGAAAGAGTGTGGGAAACGACAAATGAACCAGCAATCAGAAAAGCCTCCTAAATTAGATGGATAAAATTAACTAAAATGAAAGTTAGAAAAAACAACTCAATGAAGATTGGAAATGCCCCAAACTGATTTCCAAGAAATGTTTCATGTGGGGAACAATTTTCTAGTAACCTTGAGTTGAAAGGGAAGAGTGCAAGTGAAAAAAAAAAAGGAAGGAATCTTGCCTCTGAGAAGCAAAGACAATAGGATGTACAAACTCGGAAACCTCTACTTATATTTCTACAAGTAAGCTTGGATTCTCGAGGTTTGTTTTTTCTGTTAATTCTCAAGTTCATTCTTTTTTCTTTTAATATCCCCTTCAAATACTAAACTATAGGCCAAAAGTGTTGTAAAAATTTTGAGCCCTAGGTATAAATCTACAAGTCTCTAGTTCTCTACTTGGCTTGGATCCCAAACTCAAATAAGGCCCAAGAGTATAACTCCATTGTTGTCCTTGTTATGGTGAACAACCAAAAGCATATTGGGACTATTTAAGTATAAACAAAATATACGTGTGCACCTCTATAGAGGAAAACACAGCTGAATGAAGTATATGCTTTTAAGATTGTAAATGCGTGTATGTCTAACATAAACTTCTACCTCTAATGTCTCCATACTTGCTAATTATTCCATTTAGTCCAAAGGGTGTGTTATATGCACATCGGTAACAATATATAAGTCATAGAGGTTGAGTTGCAGTAATAGCAAATAAGGAGTGGTGTTGACCTCACTACTGTTACCAAATCCTAGTTCTAGGATTTTCATTAATCCTTTGCATGTGCTTTTATTTTCATTTTCATCCCTGCACTATATATCTAATCTCGATTTTAACTTGATTTAAATTCAGTGGTTGCATCTAAATATTGGGTATCCAATCAAAATATAGTATCTAAATATTGGGTATCCTTCCCTGATAATAAGTTAACACTATTTTGTTTTTGCTGTGGTAGACAGAGTTAGCTGACTAATGAGTATAGCAACTGAATAATAAGGTCAGGTTTTCAGGCTTACAACTTGTGAAGAAGTTAGTGATTCTTCTTAATTAGTAGGTGCTTACAAGATGGATTAAACTTGGATAACATGATAGCTAGCGGACCTGATGGCCCAATCATTAGAACAAGTTAGCCTGTTTTAGTCATATCAGCATCAATCTCATTTTAATTAAACCAAATTTCAACCATCCAGGCAGGCAACATGGTAATATATTGGAATTTGACCATACATGACTGGGCTGGACGTAGATGCCAGGCTTTCATGGATATAGCTATGTTTCTAGGAAAAACTACCTAAAAGAATAAATTTATTATAAGTTAAAGAACGACTACCCTTGTTTTCTTAATGCAGTTGAACCTGTTACTGTAGTTACTCGTTCATCTTTTATGGAATTATAGATGACTTCTTGGATTTCCCTTCCTAATTAACAGTATAGGCACCTATTTAGTAAACATAATTGATACGAGTGTTTTATCTCTTTTAGTAGTTATGAGTTGTTAATAATTTGTGATAGATCTTCTGAAGGATTTATCATGTAAATTATTGTATGTAGTCATTAATTTGATACTATAACATTATTGAATTTTTATGACTAGGAATTTTAACTTGTATTCTCTCTTTACCGAAGTTATGCTTACATACAATGATCTTTAATACATGAATAACTGGGATAAAGGACAATAGATGATATTGATAAAGAGCACTTCATCTGGACAGGGAGGCAGAATGAATGAGTAAATTTTGCTGTGCCATTCCAAGGAGTGGGGAATATCTTCAGTCTCATGTAAGACAACTAAATCCACCTCGAGGTGCAGCTGAGGAACTGGGGGCCTTCTTGAACAGAGGATAGAAAATTGAAAGATAGAGCTAGCGTACTCATTATGGACAATAAATACCCTGGATTTGTTAAAGTGATACAAGAGCTAAGCTTGATTATTTAAGGATCATAGATGAAGGGTGTACAGTTCCTGATTCCTTATTGTGGGAGAGATTTTATGGTACTGTTGTGCATAGAAAATTTCTAGAAACAATGACATTGAAGGCTGACTTTTACAAGGCATTTTCACAGTGGAAAAGATTCGTGTAGCAGATCCTATATAGCTGGAATAAGGTAAGGCTTTGTTGAGTTGAGTGATTTGATAGACAGAAGGGAACTCATTATTAGTATGAAATTAGAGGGATCTACTCCAGACTGGAATACTAAGTTAGAATGTGTACTTTAACAGGGATTGTTGGTTGGGTTGATATGGATAGATGCTGGGGCTTGGGAATAAAACACTAGAATGATAAGAAGGCCATTTTAGTGTCAAGGAGAAGAAGTTACTTCATGTGGTCCATAACCTTTTCTACATAGGCATATGTAGCCATTTAAGGGAGAGGAGTCATTCTTTGTATATTGCCTTCAACTTTATCTCGATGGTTATGATGCCCAAATATATACCAGATATGGATGTAGGTATAGAGCTGCCTCCTAATATGCTTGTATCATGCTTTTACCAAGTTGTTGGAACTAATGTCATTTCTCAATATTTATATATTTCAAAACTTAGTTAAACTCTATGTTGGAAATTTTGTATAGCATGATTTGTTAATAAATGTCATTTTATATTTTTAGAAATATCCATGCTATAAAGAATACTCCTGAAGTGCCACATGCAGTACCCCATGTCATACTGGGTAGACATCGTGTAACATGTACAGGTATCAAGGTGTCATGGCTCTATGACCTCCTTTGGCCAACGAGATGTAGCCCCATTTCAGTTGCAACTTGCAACATTTATGTTTTGCTGTTAGATAGGCTCCCCTTACGTTGCATACCGATTGAGGGTGTTCTGAAACCAAAATGAAAATGCCATCTTTGTTTACCATAACTGAATCCAATTTCACTCTCTCATTTCATTAGATGTCCGTGGGAGGACTTTCCACTATGGGAGAACAGGGAGGAGAGGTTGAGACCCAACAAGCAAACATCTTACCCAAGGCAAGTGACGACTCACTGCTTAGCATTAAGGTTTTGTTCTTTGCAAGAGCTCGAGACCTTACTGGCCTAACAGGCATCTCTCTGGAAGTCTCCACTGGTAGTACAGCCCATGACTGTTTGAATCTGCTCATTGCCAAGTTTCCACGCTTGGACGAGATCCGTGGATGCATGGTTCTAGCTCTAAATGAGGAATACACATCCGAGTCTTCATTGGTTCGTGACAAAGATGAATTGGCCATCATTCCTCCAATTAGCGGAGGCTAAAGAATGTATGTCTAGAAGAACAAACATAAATATATAATAAAGAAGAAAAGAAAATAACAATTGGGCTTTAATTCAATTGGGTGTACTAGAATTTGTTGAACTTGTACCAATAATTAGCTGCATTTGGAAAATTAGACATGGTGCTGGTTTGGCATCACAGAAAACCATTCTCTCCCGATTGTAGTTCTGAGCTTTCAACTCCATGCACATCCATACTTCGTGATGAGGTTTTGGGGGGTTGAGGTCTATTCGTCAGATTGGTTTAGATTTTATTTTTGCAGTTGCCTTGGTGAAATTGAGGATTCACATTATATTTAGTCTAGCAGGATGATGCCTTGCATAGTTGCATTCATATTTCCTGTTAGTTGGATAATACTCTGACTGTAACTCTGCAAAAGTACAGAACTATGGTGAGAAAGTATCATAGCGCGAAGACTACAGAGGGAAACATCATCGCTGGAGCCATTGCCACCACAGAAACCACAGGACCTTTACCATTAAGTGGTAAATGACAGTTTCATTGCGATCAGCAGACGTAAAATACCAAGGCTGGCAATGGGACATGAAGTCGAGACTCAAGATTAAGAAAACCTTTGTTGAGCGCTGAATTGACACCAGATAATTGGTAAACAAACTTGGTGGAATACTGAGACTGGCACTAGGAGTGAGAAAATTATGATAAACCAAAAGTTGGCATATAAAATGAGATATTGATAAAAGAGTAATATCAAAATGGAGATCAAAAATAGAAAAAAAAAATCGTAAAAACAACAGAAATTCGCGTTGTGTATTGGAAATCTGATGGAATGGTATTGGTAGGAGATTAGAAACAATCATACTAATCTGTCAATTAGGATTGTTATTGTAGTATAACAATAATGGGAAATGCGGGTCTGTCATAATAATGAACCCTTTCCATTGTTCAGTGCAATCTGCAATATAATTTTTTTCAGCAATTATAAATTTCCCGTGGATGGTTGATAGGGGAAAAGAGTAATGCTCACTGGGATCACGTTAATATACAGAACATTTCGAGTATGTTAGCAGATACAGGTATAAAGAAACGGACAAACAAGAAAAAAAGTTGCCTCACTGCAGTAACGATGAAAAGAATTTCAAAATAACCAAATTCATTACTGGAATTGTTATGGATGATACAAACATTTATATGCTAAGCGGACCGGTGGCTTCATTCCCTCAAACATGATGTAGTTACCAGTTCATATAATCCCATAGTACTAAAATGGGTATGATACTACTTCATGCATAATGTTGATGGAACAAAAAACCCTCAAAGCACGAATGACCATAATCTCTGAACCTAGCAACAAGAAATGGGTGCAAGTAGTGAGTTCAGGTAAGTTTTAAGGACAAAAATAGCACCATGATATGTTTCACTGAATCTAAGGACAAAAAAACATAATCTCGAAGCACGAATGACCATAAGGCATTACTGCAAATTTAAGGACAAAAAAATAGCACCATGCATATTATAAAAGACCTATTTTGCACAATAGCTAATAGTATTCACTGAATTTCATGATATGTTTCATGGATCTCTAGTAACGCTATTAGGCAGAACCCAAATGGAAGATGAAAAAGCATACATTAACATAAAGTACATACAGCAGAATATGCATTATTTCTTTTGCACCAGTAAAATCATGACGAAAATTGTAGTGAAAGATGAAACCCATAATTTGCCTAGAGGGACTTTTTCTACATGACTATACAAGTGCCAAGTGTTATTGGTTCATGATGAGATCTGCCATGGTAACTGGTGTATTCTTGCATTTGCAAGTGCCTAAAGTAATTCAAAGAATTTTTCATCAATATTTTAGCTGGGATAAGGCTTAGATGATGATGATAATGACGAATAGAAGTGTCAATTGGACTGGATTTGGTCCAATCTGATCCAATAAATATTTTCGACCAATTCAATTCAATGTCTGGACCGTCCAATCTGTTCAAATTCGTTTTAATTTACATTGATTTCAACCCTAACCCAGTCCATTGACACCTACATTCTTATCCTGTACCAATGGACCATATATTGGCTCAATCCAATATAAATTCATTACAGACAGACCAGGTCCAATCCAATCCAATAAATACTTTGGGCCGTTAAGTCTAAATTGGTCCAATTCAATAAGTCTTGTTGATCCGTCCAAATTGATTTTGATTTTGACGGGGTCCAATCCAAAACTGGTCCATTGACACCCTTAATAATGATATGATGATTCATCTACTATAGATATTTCAGTTGCAGTTCAAATTTTTACTTGACAAAATAATGTCAGGCTTAATCTTTTACTATTTGCCAAGCAGTAGAAAGAAATGCCTTGAGGCTGTTAATATCATTTTCTCAGAAAATATGGCAGCTAATCTTTTGGCAAAGACGCAAAGCAGGGTTTATTAAATACCAATCCGCTAAGAATTTCACTGATAGATGGTTCCACTTCTCATGTTAGACTCGTTTTCCAAGACAAGTCAGGTTACAAACATTCTGAATCCATTCTAATCCGCTAAGTATTGAGGCATTAACATGAACCCGACCAAAGTTGTTCCCTGACTGATAACAAGCAGTCAGGAAATAAACAGAGAGGGGACAAAACAATTCATATACAAAAATTAGGGTTAGGCATTTTTCAACCCAGCGAATCCTATCTCAGTCTAAAGAATTGCCAATTTCCTATAGCTCAAAATAATTACGTCTGAATAAGAAATAATCCTACTGGTCTGACTGCCCTCCCATGTCTTATTGTTTGTATATAGAAGGAAATTGCCTCAAGTCATCACATAGGAAAATAAGTCAAGATCTAAGCCTCAATTCTGTATCTTGAGGTCTAGGACTCAGGTAACTGAGGTCCTCACAGATAAGTCATTTCATACAAAACATTAAGAGGTTAGGTCTGTATCCAGTGACACCTCCCAAGAACCCATATAAACAGGACCAGAATTAGGTGATGACATTTTCTAAAACATAAGATCCATGTGGCTCCATTCTCCCACATTCTTAAGGCACCTTGCAAACAACATGCTCTTTTAGGAAGCAGTTCATAGGTTTCAAATGCCACAAAGAAAGGAGAACCATATTTGCACATCCAATTTCATAGTCTTCCAAAATGAAATTGTATATAGTTTTAGAGAATTGTGAAATGCTCTTTAGACATGAAACTGGATGCACTCAGCGTTTTAGAAGCAAGAAGCACAACTAAGACACAAGGGGTTCCTAGAGACTGTACAAGGTGAGGCGTGAACAAACTAAGGTGCCATTTATAAAATTTAAAAAAAAATGAAAAATCAAAAGAAAAACTTAACATATAAGAATATAGAAATCTAAAATCTGAAAAAAATAAAATATTTCAAAAAGTTTATTAGTTGAATTGGTTAGATCATTGTGTTATCGAGACAATATGCCTGTAGCCTTGCATGTTGATGTTCTACATAAGCTAAACCGTTCAATTACCCAATTACCTATTAAACATCAAGTTCGAGGTAGATTTTCAATTTTATGATCAGCAGCAATCAAAATGAGCCTCACTTGTGGCAAAAAGCCAGGTGAGGACCGTGAGGCTGTTGTTTGGTTGCAGTGCAAATTCATTTGCAGTGATGCAACACAATGGTAGTGCAAATGATTTGGGTGCAACTTTTGATTTATTTTTGTTTCAAATTTTACCTTACTTTGTTTTGTTGCATTAAAAATGAAGTAAAATAAGACCTAAAGCAGAATAAAGTAAAATTCAAAACAAAATTAAACTAAAATTTGCATTCTTTTTCACTTGCACTCCCATACATCTGTACTAGTGCAAATAAAATTGCATTGCAACCAAACATAGAGGTGCACTAAATAAGCCTCACCTGTGGCTGTGAACCTAGGCACGCCTTTTAAAACACTAGATGTGCTTAGAAAAGTTGTCAAATGCACTTCTGAGGTACTTCTAAACAGTCATCCTCTACATATGGGTTAAACCTGGTTTAATTTAAAGAGGAGAATCTGCTCAAAGAGAAAGCAGAAAGTAGAATGAGCAATAAAGCTTCCAACCAGGAAAACTTACTTCTAAATTCTAATTGAGGTTTGCAGAAAAGTTAGGGACATTGAGAACATAGGGTTCATCAATCTAACTTAGTGTAGGGGTGCTCTTGGGAGGACAAAGGATCACATTGGATTGCTTAAGAGAATACACACTTATAAAGCTTCTCAGGTTTTCCTTGCTAATTATCAGATTTATAACCTCAACCAGGAAACTTTGTAGCTGGAAACAATTGACACTACCCTACCCCCTTTGCAATAATTTAAAGGTTGAGGAAGAACACTAAATTTGAGAACGTGGGCTATTGAGAATGCTGTACTGCAGAGACTGGTAATGGTAATTGCCTTGGTATTTCCTTTTGTGGTTGTTTCATGCAGCAGGCTGGAACAGAAAAGTGTATAATTGGGTATGAGCCAAGAAGAGCAGAAGACATAAATGAAGATTCAGTTCTTCTCATGATCTGCTTGTTTTGTGGGGCCCACATCCCAGCCTGAGTTCTGAAGTCGTGGAGATTCAGTCAGCATTTTCAGCGCCAATCTTCTGGTTGCAGGAAATCTGGTGAATGAGGTGCCTAGGATTTATGTTTTGGAAAGTGTCTGGGTAATAGTGCATACTGCATATAATGAAGCAGGCAGGTCAAACAAAGATCCACCCACTCCAGACCCTTATTTAGTAGGTTTGTTTTGTATCATCAAAGTGATTGTTGTTCATATTCAAAAGGAAGCATATCTTCTGAAAATGGACCGGAAATAAAACAAAGTTCAGGCCAGATCTAGACAACATGCATTTTCCCTTAAAAATCCATCTGGACTCCGCCCAAATCAAGAAAAGATTGAATATATTCCACATCTATTAGATCCAAGTCAGATGGAGTAAGAGATTTGGCTATTCAAGTATGAACCTAAATTCAGTAAGATCTGGCCCAGATCCAACCTAACTCATGCCCCAATCCCCAATCATGCCAGACGTGCACAAGGGTTGGGGGTCTATTAAGGTTAGTTGATCTTTTTATTTCTGTTAGGAATTCTAACAGACTTCAGACCTTGTTTCAGTTGGTCCTTTTGCACACCCAAAATCCTAAGAATCTACTAATTGTTATTTTTTCCTTGTAGACTCATCTTTCATCTTTTTTTGATGAATGACTCATCTTTCATCTTGGTATTGGAGCTTTATTGGGGTATGGAGCTAACATGGACTGGGTCACTAGGGGAGTGCACATGGCTGACCCAGAGGATCCTCTGCCCAGTACAGTTTGGATTGGTCATAGCATGATAGATTTAACTCACAAGCTAACTGCAACTATAAGTAATTACCTGCAAAGAGAGGCATTTCCATATAATATCATTAAACCTTCTTTTATAAAGGTTAATATGCCCAAGTATCAGCATCCAAGACTACTCAACAGCCATCAACTAGACCCCAAATACAATCTCAATCAAGTCTTAAGGATGCCCAAAAATTGTTCATCTCCCATCCATCACATGATGATAGGTCCAAAACCCCTTGTAATAAGGCCCAAAAAGCTCTCAGCAAATTCACATGTAACCATCACCACAGTTACAAGAAAACACTTACAACATTGACATATCAAAGGTAGTCTAATTAAGCAGAACAGTCAAGACCCATGTGGGAGAGTAGATGAGCATAACGAAAAAACGAAGTCTGACCTAAACTCACCATATAAGAATCAGACAAACACGATAAACAAATGAACAACTCTCACAATGAAAAGTCTCAGACAATGTAGTTTGTGATTAATCATTTCCAGAGCTTAAACATTGAACCCAGCATCTTAACCAGGATTTACATACGCAGCATCATTGAGAAAAGGAAAAGAAAAAACACAAGAATATAAGAAAACAAGCATTTCTCTATTGGTTATATGCAGAATCCCTCCCTAGTAAACAACCAAAGCAAGGACTCTTATTCCTTTACCTAAATGAATGAACCCCAAGAGAGAGAAAAAAAAAAGAAAACGTAATGATCTTATGATACCTTTGTGACACAAACCAACTTTCTGGGAGCTGCCCTTCATTGTGAAGAGCAGCAAGAGAGGACCTGGTGAAGGAGATGACGAAGGCATGTTCAACAAAAGCCCGAGTTCGAGTTCCAGGAAACATTCTCGAACCCAGCTTTCTTCTTTAAAGAAAGACAGACAGACAGAGACGGAGAAAAAAAAGGACTTCTCAGGCCTTCTTCAGTCAAGATTTGGCTTCTCTCAGAGATTCACGCGCCAAGAAGACGGAAGAAACAAACCCACATTCATAAGTCATAGCTCTACTGTTTTGGTGTGTTGGGTGGGTCTGAGACCGGCTCTATTCCGTTGTGTCTTCTGTGGTTTTGTCATTTGTGAGGAGGAGAAGAGGGTTTAGCAACGCAGGCAGGCTTCCATTTTCCGGAAAGGAGCGAGCACTGCACGAATCCAGAGGGGAAGTTTTTTCCTCATCAAGGTAAAAAATAAATTACAAAAGAAGGACGAAAAAAATATATATTTTGATTTCAAACAGAGTCCGGATCTCCTGCCACGTTTGCTTATATAACATGGCAGTCACACATAGAGAATATCTCATCTCCTTCGAAGTATTATACAGAAGAGATATTCTCATGTGAGTAGATGTGGGTAGTGTTGGTGAGCAGCAGATCCGGAGTCATCTTTCAGATATCCCCCTTACCCCTTTCTCTTCTTCCCTCCCTCCCCTCCTTCACTTGATCATTTTTGGATAAATCACATAGTGCCTTGATCACTTAATCACGCGTACTTTGTGTAGAGATACTTGACCCCAAAAGGGCCCAAACTTCCATTTGCGATAAAGACCCTCTTCAATTTAGGTAAAATTATTAAAATGTCCATTCAAATTTGGTGTAATAAAAAAAGAAAATAGGGTCATTTACTAAAGTATCCCCATAGTTTCCTGGATTTATTCAAACCTATTTTATAGTTTTCATTTTATTAAAAAATATTTGTTTTGCCATCTGAAAATAATAATACGATCATGGAAACTGAGTGGAAAATGTTAAGGGCATAGTCTATGATTGTTTATTCCAAATTGCCCTTAATACATTCATTGTACAAAAAACAAAATTGACCAAATCGAACCAAATAGAGTGGATGCTTGTGCTTGTTAGGGGTAAAATTTGTATTTTCAGTTTTTCCTTTTGATTAAATTTATTCAAATTTTTTGTTTAATGGATTTTCAATTTGCAATGTGAGGTTTTAGAAATGCTTAAAGTCACATTAGAATCTTTTTTAAAGTTAATTGATGGAATGCAGATGCCAGGGGCAAAGCTAGAATTTGAAAGTTTAGGATGGTTTTTGTTGCAAATGCAAGTTTGAGAGCTAAGTGTCACTACCCCAAAGTAGAGGGTGGTAATTTATAATTTATCCACCAACTTTCTTAATTTTCAATTTTAACTAGCGGGTACCCATGCGATGCACGGGATTTGTTAAGTTAAAGATAAATAATAGAAACATGTAAGTGTATACAATTGTTTTATATAATAATTAATAATCATTTATATTTTATATACTACTTTTAATAACTTTTTATAATACAAAAATAATAATAATTAATTTTAGATAGAGTTGTTTATCAAACTTAGGGATGGCAATTTTTCCCATTTCCCCAATCCCCGTGGGGATCTGCCCCAAATGGAGCAGGGATGGGGATGAATTTTCCCCTACGGGGACAGAGATGGGGAAATTTTTCATCCCCGTAGGTGGAGACGACTCGAGGATGGGGAGAGCACTCCTTGCCCCGCAAGGGGGCATATTTTTAATATGTATACATACATCTATATGTTAATATTTTTAAAAATATGGTTGAATATGTTTGAATCTTTTCTAATATGATTGTAAATTTTAATTATTTTATTTTTAATTTTTGGAAAAAATAAAAACAAAAACATAATGGTTGACATTATAAAGAATCACGAGGAGTGGGGATCCCTGTGGAGACGGGGATGGGGAGAGGCTCCTTGTCCCGGTAGAGATAAAGAGAGTTAGCTGAGAGGGTTATTTCTATAATTTACATCTTGTTGTATTTTATTTTCTTCTTGTAAACTATCCTCTCTTGTACTCTAAGGACAATTTGATCCTTTTACCTTTTTTAATATAAAGTTCTCTTCTAGGGTGTCGTGCTCCACATTGGACACACCCACAAACTTGTTGTTGTCTTTTTCTCCTCTGTTTTACAAAACCAAGACTAGCCTCTGACATGGTATCAAAGCAAGTCAATCTGAACTACTGAGCTTACCTCTTTGTCTCTTCTTTCTTTTTTTTTTTTTTTTTGCATTCTGGGGTCTTCCTAACAATACTTGGGAACTGTTTTGTGCCCTAGATTTTTCTCTCTCAAGGTTGTTTCGATCAAACCTTAACAAATCTGAAATTTGGAAGTTTGTGCCATTATCTTCATCTTTTCTCTTTGATCTGCACTTGGAGACATCAGATTTACTTGAAACCCTAGATCTAGTGTCACCCAAAGGAGTTATTGTGATCCTCTTCAGCTAGGTTGAAATTGGTTTGGTTTAAGAAGGGTTTTATCATTCTCTTGGTTCAACATACTGTGATAGTTTCCTTTTCTGGACATCTGATCGAAAGGTACCTCTCTATTATCATCTCTTCTTTAGTTTCTGATATAAATCTTGGAAATCAGTATTTTTTTTTGTTTAATAATGGCTTTGAAAAGAGTAGATGTCCTCCCTGTTAAGTTCAATGGATCGAACTATGCCTTGTGGAAGTTTAACTTCTAGTTTCATGTTGAGGAAAATGGCCTTTGGGTCTACTTAAAATGGGACTGTAATTAAACCTGATGACTCATATGTTAAGGCCTTAAATCAATGGAAAATTGATAATGCAAAGATTGCATCTTGGATCCTCAAATCTTTTGAGGTTGAAATTGCCATTCCTATGCGAGGTTATAGAACAGCTTATAAGATGTATGAGTATCTTGAGAAGGTATATCAGCATTTAAACATCTCTAGGCAGTACCAAATATAGGTTGATATCTTCTCATATTATCAGGGAAAGAGAAAGGTCCAGGAGTACTATGCAAGGTTTATTAACCTCTGGATAGAATATGAATTAGTACATATGGGAAATAATCCATTGAATTGTTGTGTGAGGTATATGAAGAAACACTTTGATAGAAGGAATGTTATGCATTTCTTAATGCATGTCAAACCTAAGTTTGAAGTTGTCATGTCTAATATCCTGAGTCGAGGGACTCTTCTTGATTAATTTAGATGCCATTCTTGGGGAAATTCTGAGAGTTGAAACCAGACTTGCTACATAGACCACTCTTGATGGGAAGACTCCAATATTGATGTTGTTTTCCTAGCAACCAAAACAAAAGGAAAAAAGGATTTCTCCCAAATTCAGTGTTATGAATAAAAGGAGTTCAGACATATTGTCTTACAATGTAAGAAAAAAGAACACATGCACGTATTGCAAACAACAAGGACATATTATTACAGAATGTCCAACTCAGCCACCAAAGGAAAATGGATCTAATTAGAAGAAAGGGTCTTACAAAGCCTATCAAACAACCATGGAGAATTCAAATGCCTCATCTACCATTACATCAATGACTTCACAGAATAACTCTTTTAGTGGTATTTCTGAAGATAAGATTTGGCAGCTCATGTCCTCGGCTTTCTCTTCTACTTTCTCAGTTATTGGCATGTTCGGTAAGTCTTCTACCTTCTATCCTTTCTCAAGTAAACCACCTTTGGATTATAGACTCTGGAGCCTCTAATCACATTACGAGAGCATCTGTTGGTCAGTCTCTTAAACCCCATCTTTCCAATCGACACATTATCACTACAAATGGGGAAAAACTGGATATACTTGGTTGTGATGATTTACACCTATCTACCTCTAAATCATCTTACTTTTCACCTACCCAAGACCTTATTTGTTCCCAAATTAAAACTAATTTGATTTATGTTGGCCAATTTTTGGAAGATGGTAATACTGTTTTGTTTTCCTCTAATGGTTATTTGATATAGAAGATGGTAATTCTATTGTTCCCAAATTAACAACAAAAGATGGTAATTTTGTTGATCAACTGTTTGCTCTAGAGTTTGAGAAGAAAGTTGATTTAGTTTCTCCTTTTTGTTTACTTTCTATTACATCTAGTTTTGAACATTTTTAATTGTAATAATGACTAGAGCTTGTGGCATAGATGCCTTGGTCATCCTTTTACTAAGAAACTTGATTATTTGTTTGCTTCTAGTAGTTTACCTAATGTTACTGCTTCTTTTAAAAATGTTAATAAATCTTGCAGTACTTGTTGTTTGAGCAAAAGTCATATTTTAGCCTTTCCTTCTTTTTCTGAGCATGCAACAATACCTTTTTATTTGATGCATAGTGATGTTTGGTCGTTTACAGTTACTTCTAGATCGGGGTTCAAGTATTTTGTTATTTTCATTGATGACTATACTCATTTTACTTGGATTTATTTCCTCGTAAGAAATATGAAGTCTATCATAAATTTAAATTTTTCCAAGCCTATGTTACCACCCAATTCGAAGGAAAAAATATGTATCTTATGATCTGATTCAGGGGGGAAATACTCTGATGGGGATTTTCAGGCTTATTTGAAAGAACAGGGAATCCAATCTCAAAAATCCTATCCTAGTACTCCACAAAAAAATGGAGTAGCAGAAAGAAAGAATAGACACATCTTGAGTGTAGTTTGAACCCTTCTACAAGAGTCTCATGTTCCCTCTTGGTTTTGGGTGGATGCGCCCAGCACTACCGTGTATCTAATAAATCTTCTTCCCTCTTCTGTTCTAAATAATACCTCTCCATTTCAGTCCTTGTTTCACAAACCTCCTAACTTATGCTCACTCAAAGTTTTTGGTTGTATTTGTTTTTTTCATCTTCCACCTCATGAATGCACCAAATTGATTGCACAGGCAACATTATGTGCTTTTATGGGATATAACCCTAACCACAACGGATTCTTGTGTTATGATCCCGAAGCTCATCGTATTAGGATCTCCTATAATGTCATCTTTCTTGAGCACATATCTTTCTTTGAGCATATGGTTAAATTTCCTACTCCTTCTATCTCTTTGTTGCATAGCTTTGATTCCACAAATCCTCCAAATGCTCCAACATCATTTGTGCAGCAACTTGATACCTACTTCAACAAAAGTTTACATTAGTTTCTATGCCCCCTTCGCCTTCTCCAACACCAGTTGCTGATCCAGTTACACCATTCATCTTTGTACATTCTTATAACCCACCACTTGAACCCAATAAACCCACATTGCACTGCTCTTCTAGAATTATTTGCCCTCCTTACTGTTATGGTTACTCCTTAAACCATAGTTCCTTTTCGACTATTTATCCACCATAGACATTCCCAAGACTAAGATGCCATGGACTTTGAGATCCGAGCTCTTCTTGAGAATGACAC